GTTGTCAGGCTTTGATGACTCAAGCATTAAAAAAAACCCAAAACCCAACCACCTCTCTTTCTGAACTAAAATAGCCCAAGAGCAATTTTTTTAAAGCAAATTTAAATCCAATTAGTTAGGTCATATTTTCTTTCTGAAAGCTCGTAATGGGACTCACAGTTTTGCTGCTTGAACTGAAGCTACTTGAATGTTTAATTATTATTTTTTAAACAAAATCCAATACCATTGGAGTCCACTTGAGATCTTTAGAGATAGAATAAAAGACAAAAAAGAAGTCTTGAATATGCAATAGCTTTGAAAAGGGCTATGCATGTTATGTAGTTTAGGGCAGTGTTTCTCAGCTGAGTTCTTCAATGCATCAGAAAATGGTTCCTGAAAGAAGTGAAAAACTTAAAAAGAAATCTGCACACTTTTCTGTTTATATGAGCAAGCAAACAGAACAGGGAAAATAGAGGTAATAAAATAACTGTCAAAGCTGAGCCTAGATTTTACTGGGTTGTAAATGAAAATCACTGTAGCAATGCTATATGACAAAGTACATGGCTCCTCAACAAAAAAAAAAAAGGCTGGAAACGGTGATGTAGGGCATGTTTGCATGTGTGATGTAAGCCATCCTGGTGCCCAAGCCATGCCTAAATGATTAATACCTCTGACTGACCTAGCTGGGTGCCACCTAGAAATAAAAGCTTTGGTCTCAGAAGAAATATGGCCACATTAAATGACTCTGCATGACACTGCATTGCACAGCAGAGGTTGGTCCCTGCTGCCCAGATCTTCACTCTCCCCTTTCTCATGCAGACTGTTCGTTGGGTCCGAGAGCCCCTGCAGGAGGCTGCTGGGCAGCCTGGGTGGTGGAGTGGATCTGACCACTGGTGTGCCGAGGGGCAGCAGTGGTGGGCTGGGTCTGGACCACAGTCCTTCACACGAGGTCCTTCCACATCACATCCAGTCATATCGCTTTCATCCCCCTGCTTTCTCGCCCTCCTGGGAGTGAGGGGCAGCAGTCTGGTATCACCTAGTTCCCAGTCAGTGCAAAGAAATGATATATTCTACATATTCCTTCAGGACGGAGAATTTTTCACCAAGATTAGTGATCTCAATCCATAGTCAAACCCATGTAACATGCTCTTCCCCTCCTTCCCCACTGCCACTCAACCCCCCCCAGTCCTGTGGCTTCCCCCTCCCTGCCCTGATTTGTCGGGCAGTGCTACTGGCATGGCAGGGTCTGATCTGGGCAGCCCCAACCCAGGTCGGTGGAGCTGCAGCGGGATGAAAACAGTGCCCCAGGTAGTGGGGCAAGAGGAGGAGACTCCTCTCTTTCTCCCCGCACAGGTTTTGCTGAGGAGCATGCCTTCTCTCCTCCCTGGCTCTAGGCTAAGGCAAACAACACCTATCTGTGTGTGTGGCTCAGTGGCTTTTGCAACCCCTCAGGGTTAGAAGTGATTCCTTCCAAGGACTGGGATTGTGGCTGCAAGGTGTCTGCACTGCTGCAGGACACAGCCGACTCAGTAAGTTAAAGCGCTGCAAGTATTCTGCGTCTGTCAGCTTTTCCAGCTGCCTGCCTCTTAGTTTGTAGCATGTTAACATAGGACTTTTCATCTTACGTGCCCTTCAGAACACTTACTCATGGCGCTGAAACTTCAGAATGCGTCTCTGAGGCCGGTAGGACTCCTGATTAACTCATCCAGCTCTCGCTGCATCATTTACAGCAGAGGCAGCTGAGGCACAGGAGGGCTGGAAGACTTGAGGTTTCCCTCAGGAAAGCAAGAGACTGTCCTGCATGCAGTTGCAATAGTGGCATTGCTGTCATTGTCAACAGCATGACACTGTTTTATTAGGAAAAATTATTACACTGGCACAATGGAGCGGTAGAGTATGACTACACCTCTGTAGGTTGTGGAGTAACCGCACAGATTATTAACCTTGTGTATCTGCAAGTGTGGCCTGTATGCAACAGAGCTGGGCTGTCCTTAGCCCTTGCGGGCTTGGGGTCTGAACCGTTAGTGCCAGAGCTCCAGTGAGACCCTTACCATCCTCCACAGGAGAGCCAGGACCTGCCAGGAGTGGACATCAACATCCTCCATAGGAGAACCAGGACCTGCCTAACACAGAGGCAGCGGTGCTATCGGAGTTTGCAGGCTGAGGGGCTTGCCTATGCTCACGCGCAAAATCATTTCTTATCCACATTGCAAGAATATCTACAAAGACCATGGTACATACTGGTTTCTGTGAGCACAGTCATGTAGGTGGCTGCTACACAGCATGGTTTGTTCCTCTGACTAAAACCCTTAATGAGAACAATTACTAGTTTGCAGCATGCAGAGACTGGAAATTACAAGGAAGGGTGAGCAAGGTTTGTGCTGCTAGCACAAAGGCACCCTGAGGAATGTTAAAGCAGGCTTATTCTAATAATTATTGTAAGCGTGTGAGATATTTGTACTGAAACTGAGCAATGTGGTTTCTTACAGTCATTGATGTAATCCACTTTCAAGATGGCACTCTGGGAGGAAGATGATCTGTATGGGTTTTTCCTATGCGTTTCTATCATAAGCAGGGTTACATAGCCTAGGTCAAATCTTTAAGGTCAGTGGAATCTTTTGTTCAGGTGGTGTTTTTTTTCACAGGATTGCGTTCTTTCACTTTTCTATGCAATAAGTTTTTTGTTGGATACTTTGATTCACTTTTTGACTTACCTTTAAATGCTCTCTAGTCTCATGAACAAAGGATTTCTGTGACTTTATCTGATAAACAATTTGCATATGAGCGAAGGGTCATGCAACTGTGTCCTGTGTGAAGTATCAGTGAAATGTAAATAACCCATTTAACTGCCAAGCCTAACCGGAGATGAAATGGCAGGGCAGACTGAGTTTAAGATAGAGCGCTTATCAAAAGGAGGCATGACTATCTGTTAAAGGCTGGCTTAATAAGAACACAGTAGGGAGAAGGAAACAGCATTTCAGTCTATATGGCTAAGTGTATAGATGGCAAACTACGGTGTGAAGACAGAATTACATCAGAACCAGCTTCAGAACACATAAAGGACACAAAAAGAAGTTAATTATGCCTCAAGGGGGAGTAAAATATCAAAAGTATCAACTTATGCAGGAGGAAGGAAGGAAGAAAAAAATCTGTGCCTGCCTACAATCAATCAGTTCACCTTTAAACCTGAAACTCTTTGAGTTTAAATAGGATGATATTAAAGACAAAGGCAACACACTGCCATCTTTCAAGTTCAGCCTTGTGTCTTTGTCCAGTGTTCAGCAGTCTCTCCGGCATGTGAAGATACAGTGGAGTTTTCAGCTTCTCTGACCTGCCTTTTATCACCTTGGAGGTCCATGCTGTTCTGCTGAGATCCGTCCTCGTTCTGATTGCTCACAGATCCTTTCAAATAGTCCAGGCATTGCTGGATATTTAACACCTGACCTGTGCCTGTTACAGTTACACATAGTGCAGCTTTTCGGGATTACATAAACTTAAATCTAAAGATGCTGGCTGGGTTCTTACATAGCAGAATGCTTAAGCTCCGTTTTATGAGCTGGTGTGCATACATACGTGTGCTTCAGTCATATTGGATGAATGAGTGAAATAAAACGCGTTGCTGGGCTTAAACATGGGTCTTACGGTGGATTTAAGCACAATTTGCTGAAGCAAAACCTCAGCGCTGTGCATTCTTGTGTAAAATCATAGAGGGGGCTAATTATAACTGCTTGGGTTTTTTTTCTGTACTAAGTTGTTTTTAAAAATGACTGATTCTGGTGGCCACTGACAAGTACAATCTGTGTCTGCTAATAGTTCTGTTTTCTTTAGATCTGTTTTCGTAAAGCTTTTGGGAGCAGATTTAGGTTCAGCTTGATTTAAATTACTGTCAGACCAACATTTTACATGTACCTTGCCTCTGTGAGAAAGGCTGTGCAACATGCTGGCTGAGGGGAAATCACAAATTTATAGATTTTAGAGCAAGGGGAGAACATGATGTTCATCTAAACTGACTGCAGCCCTGCCCAGTCTGTAGGTTCTTTTATTTAACTCAGCAGCTTGAGGTTGACTGAGAGCGTATTTTTGGAATTACATCCAGGCTTGATTTAAAGACTCCAAGTGCTGCAGAGTTTGTCACAGTCATTGGGAGTTTGTTCCAATGGTCAATTACCCTTTCTCTGAAAAATACCCTTTCTCTGAAAAATCTGTACCTTATTTTTTTGGAACTCTGTTAACTTCTGTCTTCTGAAAACTGGATCTTTCTGCTTGACTTCCTCAGCAGGACTAGGGAGCCCTTTATTTTGCCATAGATATTTCTTGTGATAGTTATTTTGTATTTTTATGGTGTTTGAAAAATTACTTTATATTCACAAACCATATTAGGCAGACATCTTTTACACCCTAGTATTCCTGTGCTAAGGGTCTGACATAATAAAAATATACCATTTTAGAAAAGAGTCGATGTGACTGTGGTGCTTTTTATTTCAGTTACTAACCACTGGTTTATCATTAAATATAATTCATGGCTAGGATAGTAATACTGGGAAAGAAAGGGTATTCGGTATATGCTATACTTACATTGTATAAATCATGGTTGCTCCAGTTTCCCCCAAAATACTATTTTCAGTATTTCTTTGAATGTGTCAAACGAGCTTCGCAGATGAGTTGAGTTCTCTGTTACTTCTTTATCCAAAACAATTCCCATGGAGTCATATGGCCAAATGATATCGAAAAGGTACCTGGTCCATGCCCTTGCCCTTAGGCAAAATCAGTGTGAGCCTGTATGATCTTCCTTTCATTCTTTTCTACTGAAAAGTTGCAAAGCAATCATCATATTATTTCTACAGAGAATGAAAATTATAAAAGGAAGGGTTTTCAAAAAGCCTGAGCAGTAACCTGTGTCCTTTCTCGCATGGTTCCCTTAGAAACCAAGTAAGATCAATGGGAGTCACTGTTGGTAAATCCTGCCTTGATGCATTTGCCTTGTTACTTTATGAGTAATTATTGTCCTGTTTTCTCCTTAGGGCTCTTCCTGCAATGATGCAGTGGGTCCGAACTCAGAAACCAGGAGAAAGTGGTGTGAATATTATCACTGCAGATTTTGTAGAACTTGGTGACTTTATCAGCACAGTCATAAAGCTCAACTATGACCTGGATGAAGGTGAAGATGACACTACTTGATAGTACTATAATACATGTGTTGTTGCGTTACTTAGAATTTAAAAAAAAAAAAAAAAAAAAGATTGCATTTTAAAAGAATTATCTTGTAAAACACTGACCTTCCTATAACACGCTGAGGTGTTTAGGGCTTTAGTGGGTGGGTGTAGGGGAAATGTTTTAATCAGTTATGATCATTTTTTACATTTGTGTTTCATGTGAAGAGCAAAACTAAACATGTTTACAGTGTTTGGTAAAAGAAGGCCATCTACATGTTTTCCGTAACATACCAAATGCGATTCATGTGTCTTCTGTGGTTATGAACAGTGCCAAGAAATTTGCTGCTTTCGGAGCAAGGGGATGTATATTGCCCTCTGCCTGCCCACAGCAGGATTCCCCATAGTGTGAGCACTACACCGGGAGACTGAGGACAGTATATCTGGCCCGAAAATTTTAAGCCGCTACACTTCATCTGTTAGGTGGTTTAACTGATTGTATTTATCAGTGAGCTACAGGTTTGAATGCCTTTGTGAAGTAAACCCAAAGTCATGCCTTTAACACACGCATAATCAGTGGACAGTAAACATGGTGTGTCACGTAGCTTGCACAGAGCACAGACTAAATCCTGCTTGCTTTTTGTTCTCAAAACGGGGTTTTGCAATGTCTCTGCCCTAGGTTAAGTCAGCAGATATGTGATGCTGGCCTAACTCTGTACTAGGAGCTGCCAGTGTGTATTTTCCCTGGTTCTACCAGGAACAAAGTTAGGCCAGCTTGAAGCACCACTGGGAGGGGTGCTCAGAGTTCGTCTCATGTAATCACAATCAATACATCATCAATGTAATCATTCATTCCAGGATTCATCTTATGTAAGAGCCAAATCCAACGTCCACTGAATTTAATAGGAAAATTTCCTGTGTTTAGCTTGGATTGGGCTTAGGATCAGTAAATTGTGTATACTGTAAGATGGACAGGATTTTGTCGCATAGTGGAAACCTGTTTTCCGCAGAACTAAAACTGCATTTAGAAAAAATAGGTGCAGTCTAAGCTTCTCTTTAAGGCAGCTGCGAATGCAACACTTCTCTGCTGATTACAAAAAAAAAAAAAATCAGTGCCAGTTTCATCAGTGAAAAATTGCTGGGCTGAACAATTTCTAGCTAGAAACAATACTCTATAGTCCTTAAATTGTTGGTGGGATATAATACAGCGTAACACAATGTTGGAAGTCTGCTGAATAGCACTGTTCTAGCAGCAGAATCGCTCATCATCCTGAAGCATATATAAAACTCAAATATATGAAAAACTTAGTGATTTATAAAACGAGAGCATTGCCACTGTATGACACCTAACTGGATAAAATGCAATCAGTTATATCTCCTGCACACATCAATGCACAGTCACACAACCTTGGAATGCAAAACATTTCATTTGTGCAAAACAATAGATGCTATAATGAAAAATGGAAAATGCTCTTTGAAATATTGGAGGGCTTTATGGGATAAGACTAAGGTCGAGTTTCCATTGATATTACTAGAACTTCTGGTTGAGTGAGAAAAGAGAGTGTCATCATATGGTCCTTTGCTATTTTCTATCAGATGATAAGGACTACCGTCTACCATCAGAGTTCAGAAAAACTAAAATGTTCTTATGAAACAGGTCGGGTACGGGTGGATTATAGGAGTTTTGTTGTTGTTTTTAGTTTAGGAAGAAGTAGAATAAAATGAACACTTGCTGCTATTATGTACTGAGAGGGTGCCTTGGAAAAAGTGTGCGTGTGTGGGTATACTATGAAGAAACATTTAAGTGTATGTGTATCGTAGTGACACATTTAAGCGTGTGTATATGACACAAAGACATCCATGCACACATCTGTGGACAGGGGTATTATAAATTTGGTTGAAAAAAACTGTTACGAAGTTATGATGCCTCCTTCAGTAGCAGTTTTTTCTGTACAGGTTAGGACTGGAAGATTCATCCCCAGTGAAATCTAAGCCAGTTAGGTTTTTTACAGTGTTAAAACTTTACCCAGCTGCCTCAAAAATTTAGCAAGAGTCACAGACCATCTTTGCATTGAGCGAGCGGTAGGACTCTAGTGCTTTCACCCACAACTAAGCAAAATATGGGGTGGGTTGATGCACTTTGTTTCCAGTTTCCACAGGCTCTCCAGGCAAAATTCATGTAACAGACACGTAAAATGAAACATGAGCATATGTGTTTTTTTGAACCCACCCTATGTGGGTGTCCCACATAGAAACATGAATATGTTTGCTTATTTATTGGCAATGTGGTGTGAAATGCTCTTTTCATTTTTTCTGTTTAGCAGAATTTGTTTGCTTCCAGACTCTTCTGTCATTCCTCAGCTGTTTAAGTATAGTCAAAATAGTTAACCTATGCTTTTAATATAGTAAAGTAATCTCAATCGTTGCATGGAGCAAAACCTAGGTTTTCCTTTTTTTGCATTCTGATTGAAATTCTGTTGAATCTGAGAGCATCAATAACACTGAGTTCCTCTTGGGACTCACCACTCAAACACACACCAGATACAACAAGCTTTTTGCTTACACAGAGGTGTGTACTCGAAGCAAATGTTCTGCTGTATTTAAGAAAAGTGTGTGTGTGCTTGCATATATAAATAAATATAGAGCTATCTTGAGCTTGTTAGCAATGTTACAAACTGTTTGCTTATTGTCAGTTTTATTCTAATTATCATTTGGGTGCTGGAAAATAAAAGCAAAGCAAAAAAAAAAAAAAAAAAATCCTCTGACCAGAAGGATAATAGACAAATCATATAGTTTCTCCATTAATGGGGAAAAAAGAATCTTAGCAAAATGTTAAATTTTGGTCAGAAAAATTATTTTTCATTTAGCTGTCGATCTCCTTTCTGTTGGAGAAGCACAGCACTTTATGTTAGGGACAGGTAAACAAACTTGCCTTAATTACTAAAAAAAGTGTGTGACGGGGGATATTATCCATGCTTTTCTGGTGATTTCATCTGCGAGGTCCCAAAACTGTAAGTCTTGATAGGAGTTCACTCCCTGTTGATACATTTTGGGAGATCTCGCCAGAAAAGAATAAGCCAGAAGAGTCTATGCAGCACAACTGGACCATTCAGGAGCCCAGTTTTGTCACCCACATGCAGCTAAAACTCTCTTTGATTTCAACCAGAAATGTGCTCGCAAGTTTGGGTCAGCTCAGTTGTTCTGACCTGATTCGTTTGGGAGGTTTCTACACATGTATTATGAGGAATCTTACATGGGAAATTAGATGACTGTAATCAGCCCATTGGAGGAAAAATACATGTCTGCACTATTGATCTTCATAAGCATCTATTTTCTCAAACTGTCATGTCATTCTCTGCCAAAACATTTTTTTTTTCTTCCTGTGCTCATTCTCCCACTTGCTATGTTCACTGTGTACACATCAGGTAGTGTTGTTTTCTGACTTTTTCACATGATTACTTGATCCTTTCTTTTCAGTCATACTTGAAAAATCGTGACTGCGCTGCACAACCCATGCAGTGTCTCAGCTGGTGTAAACCTACCTGGCTCCATTTTGCAGTTTGCACAAGCTGAGATGTCTTTGTTTGGTACTGATCCAACCTGCAGCGATTTGGACCAAAGAGCAGCTGGTCCCGGGGGCTGATTCCTGCCATGTGTGGACAGGGGTAAGATCGGAATCAGACCACGGGAGCCTCGTTTTAAAATCAGCGGGTTATTTATATTCATTTGGTGTTGGTTGCATTACTGGTTTTGTGGGTTCTGCCATTTCAAGCTGTTTTTTTAAACGTACACGTGTGTGTGTATATAATGCATACGTGCGTGAGAGGGAGTGCACGATCCTGTATGTTGGGCTAAGTCTTTCTATCACACTGATACAAATCTAGACCATTTCTGCTAACTTCAAAGTAGTCATGAAACCTTTACCCTGGGATCAGGGAGAGCAGATAGTCAGTGCGTAGTAAGTATATGCTGTATTGCAAAGGAAATTTAAAATCATGGAGCTGAAATCCACAATATCAAAAGAGTGGAGTGCCCTGAAAACACAGCTCCAGTGCTGTTTATCCTGAATATAGTATGGGGAGCACTAGGTATTAGCAACTGAGTAAGCTATTTGGTGATTTCAAGAGTTCAGTTAACACCATTTTAAACTTCTAAACTCCTTTTCAGTGAAGTAAAAGCTAATAGTGTATACGATGTATTTGCCATATCTCAGTGGTAGCTTCTGTGTTACATACAGTCAACGTTGTTCTGAATTGTATATGTTTACCCAATGATGAGGTTAAAATATGCTGTATAGTATGTGTAATGTATTGATTACAAGTGTGTTGGAATTCAGTGATTTATTTAGTTTTTACTGTGCTGCTGTTTTGTAGGTGTGTGTGTATGGGAGTATGGATTGTCTACAATGTATGAGGAAATAATAATTAATCCTAAAGGAAAAGGGCAGTTATGTAACCTGCCTTAATGCATTCGAATAATGGTGTTTTAATTGTCAGTTCTGATTTCAAATGTTACTGGGGATTGTCTGTAGGGCTGTCACCCTCACTTTTTGGTACTGAGGAGTTAAACTTGAAGTTACTTGGAGCTCACTCACATATTGGTAAATAAAGAATAGGATGTTTGCCTGATCGACTAACTTGATTGTACAAGGTGGTACAGACATGATTTCCAGTGTGATACAGATCAAATCACTTCTGTGGACACACAGCTCCTGCTGATGCTAGCTAGAATTGTGATAATGTGAATCAATGGTCTAAAATTCGTCCCTTGGGATACAATGGTGGTAGCAGGGTGGCAATACCCTGGCTTTGGGGAAGTGCCTGGATGCTATGCAGTACTGCTCATATCCTGTGCTGGAACATAGCTGTAAATTTGCAGGAAGAGCACTGAACTCTGCTCCAGTCTAGGTTGGACTGTAAAAATCCTGATGTAAAAGTGATTAATGTCAGAGGCTGAGCAGCCTGGCCTGGCCTGCCCACATACAGCATTCTGCTTTCAGGAGCCGTGGCAACTGTAATTAAAAAAGCTATAATAATTTCCCACTGGCTCACAGGACGTAGCTCTACT